CTCCCACTAGGTCTGTCCCCAAAGTGGTAGGATTATTGAGTCGTCAACCCGGGCCACTCTCACCCATATAAATCAAAGGATGATACCTTATAGGCAGGAGTCCATAACTCGCTCAGGATTAAGATTGAGTTACCTGATCATCATATGAAATATTAATCTAGTTAGTTTACAGTGTTAAAACTAAAGATTAATTATTCTGCAGTTCGATCTTATACAAACTCATTGTATATGATACCCCCACTCGCATGTCTTCACATGAACGACCTGGATAGAGTCGTTTGTAACTATTACAAAGCGGGTCGTATCCATAGTGTTACCAGGATAAGGTAGTCCAACCTTATCCATATACTATAGACCATTTAGGTTATTATTGGAACATTACGAGGTTAATTGATTAAAATCATTAACCAAAATTAACCAACATTCGTTAACTGCGGATCACTTCACTAAAGATCCGCAACTACACTCTTCTAACTGCATAATATTTTGTGTCCACGGAAATTGACCATTGATGGCAAGTCAATCATTCATGAGTATTTGTAACTTCAGCTGGGTCAAATTATCGTTTTACCCCTAAGCTACATCTTGCACTTTAGTACCACTGCTCCTCTAATGAACAACCTGTTTATTGTCCGACCATTAAACAGAAGTCCCTCTCGGGCTAGTGATAGGGTGGAGCCTCTTGTTCAAGTCTCGGAGTCAACATTTAAGAGAATACTCATCTACTTACCCTAAAGTCGGGAATGAGTTAGTTATGTTCCCAGCTCCCACTCGGTCTGTCCCCAAAGTGGTAGGATTATTGAGTCGGCAACCTGGACCACTCTCACCCATATAAATCAAAGGATGATCCCTTATAGGCAGGAGTTCATAACTCGCTCAGGATTAAGATTGAGTTACCTGATCATCATATGAAATATTAATCTAGTTAGTTTATAGTGTTAAAACTAAAGATTAATTATTCCGCAGTTCCATCTTATACAAACACATTGTATATGATATCCCCACTCGCATGTCTCCACATGAACGACCTGGATAGAGTCGTTTGTAACTATTACAAAGCGGGTAGTATCCATAGTGTTACTAGGATAAGGTAGTCCAACCTCATCCATATATTACAGACCATTTAGGTTATTACTGGAACATTATCCACTTGTATATCAAATATATATGTATATATTAATTATATATTGTATATCAAATATATACATTGTATACTAAATATATACTGTATATCAAATATATATTGTTCCAGTTACATTAAATAACCTTAGATCTTAGTTTATTGGAATACGAGTAATGCAAAGAAATAACTCTTTCTTGAATAGATAATTTGTTTATTAATTACAAATACACGACCTAAGGGCACAAAACCCAACAGAGACTTGACTTTCTCTAGATTAGCTTCTATTCCTTGCTCGTTCACTATAAAGTCGAGGAACTTGCCTGATGATACCCCAAAAGCACATTTAGTTGGGTTGAGCTTCATCTAATACTGTTGAAGTACATTATAGGCCTCTGTTAGGTCGGCGATATGTGAGCTTGTTTTCTTGCTTTTGACGAGCATATCATTAATGTAAACTTCCATGTTGTGACCTAACTGTTTCGCGAACATCTTGTTGACCATTCGCTAGTAGATCATTTTGGCATTCTTCAAGCAGAAAGACATTACTTTGTAGTAGTAAAGCTCTTGGTCAGTAACGAAGGAAGTATGTCGTTGGTCAGGCTCGTGCATTTTGATTTGGTTATAGCTGGAGTAGGCATCCATTAAGGTTAGTAGTTGTGCCCAGCTGTGGCGTCGAGTAGTTAATATATTCGTGGAAATGGAAAACTATCTTTACGACATGCTTTATTTAAGCTAGTGAAGTCTATACACATTCTCCATTTACTATTTAGATTTTTTTTTAACTAGAACGACATTAGAAAACTAGTCAGGGTAGAAAATTTCTTTAATATATTCAGCTCGTGAAAGTTTGTTAAACTTGTTCTACAATAATTACACTCCTCTCACTATTTACAAGTCAGCGTTTATGCTTAATAGGTCAAGAAGATGGGTCAATATTGAGGCAGTGAACCATGATGCTCGAGTCAATGTCGGACATGTTTCATGCGACCAGGCGAACACGTGGGCATTTTATCTTAGGAAGTTGATGAGCACGTTCCTATCGATGGCCCCCAACTTGGTGCCAATGCTCACTTATTTGTCAGGGATGAGCAATGAAACCAGCTCAAATTTTTCAGTCGGTGTGCCTCTGTTTTCGATGTGGTCGTCTTCATTCAGCTCGGACCCTTTAGAGATGGTTGCGCAAGTAGAGGATCCTTTTAGGGTGGCCACATAGCATTCCTACGAGGTCTTCTGCTCCCCTTTAATTACTCCCACACCCTTGGAAGTCGGATATTTGAGCATTTGATGGTATGTTAAGGGGATAACTTGCAACGCGTGGAGAATAAGTCAGCCGAAGATGGCGTTGTAAGTTGACTTGCCATCTATTACCACGAACTCGGCAACCTATGTGATGCAAGTGTCTCCCTCATCAAAAGTGATGGAGAGCTCGATGCACCCCTCTATAGTGACACTTGAAAAACTGACTAGGGGAGTCAAGCTTTTCTTCAATTAAGCTCTATCCCAGCCAAAAGCTATGTAGGTCGAGAGAGATAGAATGTTGGCAGAAGCGCTGTCGTCTACTAAAACTCACTACATCGTTACATGGTCAATCTGGGGAGCTATAACTAGCGCATCATTGTGAGGCAAATGGATGTCTTGAAGGTCAACATCCGAGAAAGTTATGGGGCAGGCTTCTAGCTTTACCTACAGCGAGTAGATCTCATGCCTAGCTTCTCGAGCTAGCTTTTTGCATTTGTGGCCTGACTGGCCCTCATTAGGCCCACTTTGAATAGTATTGATCACTGAAAGTTGATTCTCATGCTTTGGAGGGGTCTTGGACCTCTCCATTTTCTCATCTTTCTTAGCTTTATCTTTATCATTTGATTTGGGCGGAGAACCGCGTTTGGAATACTTGTGGTCTTTGACAATATGATGTCTTCACCCTTGATAAACTTTGTAGCTCAATCGAGGCAGGCCCTCAAGGTGGGTTTAGGTTTCTTTGCGAGTGACCAAGTTAACTTCTAATAGGTCACCCCGTTACAAAATGTGGTACGAGCGAGCAAGTCAGTACAATTCTCCACCTTGATTTGCTCGACCAAAAACCCTTTGATGTAATCTCGAATAGGCTCTTTTGGCTTCTGGCGAGTGGAGAAGGGGTAAGTATATGTGTGCTTGACATCCCTATGTGCCGCGAACTGGGCCATGGAGGTCTTCTGTAGTTGCTTCCAGGTCGAGATGGAGTAAGGCATAGCCGAAACCATTTCTTGGGCGGTTCTTGCAGGATGATGGAGAAATCTCTACACTTCGTCGCGTCTGAATATGTGTGGAAGTCCATGATGGACTTAAAAGTTTTGGAGTGGTCAATTGGGTCGGTTGTGCCATCATACTTGTTGAAGGTCGGCAAGCAGTTTTTTTGAGGAATGTCATGAACGAATGGTGGTTCTTCAGCCACATCATCATCAGAAGTCGACTCGCTTTCTTCAAGTCGCCCTTGAGCTCATTGATCAGGTCTCTTTTGAGTTGATTGAACTGCATTTGCAAGCTTAGATTGCCCAATGATACCTCCGGATGGACCTTTTTAAGCTTTTGTCGTCTCCAAGCATGGTTGCGGACGATGGTGTCTCTTAGGTCTTGGTTGCCCCCTGCCTTGGAAGGTTCAAGGGATAGCGCAGACAGAAGATCCTGGTCATGCCTAGGTCGGTCATTACTGCCCAGAACCAGTTTTTTGACATGCTAGTGGTTTTGTCGCTTCTTGGGACCACCGTCCATCTTCTGCTTGCCTTTCCTGGAATCGTGAGGGATCTTGGGCTCTGGCAGCTCGAGAAACAGCATCCTGACATTCAGTAATACCTGAGTCATGGTGTCCATACGGGCCTGCATTTGTGCTATCAGGGTTTGCAGCTCGGACGACAGGACCTCCTCTATTGGCGTGGATTTAGTCTTTCAAGTATCAGCTCGGGTCTTTGGTTTAGTGGGTTTCGGAGGTCGGGTTACCTCATTCTCAGCTTTACCATTATTCGGCAAGTTTGGATCTCTGAGATTGCTGTTACTTGAAGTTTGGGAACCGTCAGCCATTGCAGAGAGTATATAAAAGCTTTATTTCCATCGGTTTCCCACAAATGACACCAAATGTTGATGCGAGATTCTCCTGAGCTACTGAAGGTCAGCCACGTGGCAACGAGGACGAGTTGGCGAGGTGCGACCTTAAGCAAGAGGGACTTGCAAAAGGAACAAACACTTCGACACTCAAGTTAGAAGAAAAGCGC